AAATGTGGCTTGATATTCATGACCAGTTCAAGCAGAGTGATGGACCAAGAACGGCTGAGATTAAGCAACAGATATTTGCTGAGATTCAGGGTACTCAGAGTGTGGGTGACTATTATTCGAAGTTGAAGCAGTTGTGGGAAGAGTTGAAGAATCATGAGACTCCTCATACTTGTTGCTGTGGTCGTCGTGAGTGTGTCAATTTGAAGAGAATCATTGACAGAAAAGAACAAGATCACATTTTGAAGTTTCTAACGGGTCTTAATGACACGTTTACTGCAACACGGGGTCAGATCTTGATGATGGAGCCAAAACCTAACATCTCTAAGGTGTTTAACCTTGTTTGTCAGGAAGAGAGACAACGGTCAATGAAAAGTACAAGTGCTGTTGCTTTCAATATATCTCAGCCTGATAATGATGAAGCTTATGGCGGCTTATACTGGGGGTTACAATAAGCATAGGACTCGTCCTATCTGCTCACATTGTGGTTTGGCGGGTCATACAGTCAATAGATGCTACAAACTCCATGGTTATCCTCAAGGATATAAGCATCCTGGCTCTACTCCAAAGACTCAGCAGAATCAAAACTCAGCCTCCAATCCAGTCCAGACGAATCAGTCTCAGGCTTCAGGCTCTCAGAAAGCTGTTACTAACAATTGGCCACCTCGCAAGGATAATGTTGCAAGCATGGTTCTTCAGGACACTGGTGGTATATCTGTGCATGATTCGCAGGGTGTTCACTTGGGAACAGTTACACAGGATCAAGTTCATCAACTTCTAAATGTCTTGAGCGTTCAAACGGCTCCTCTTACAGACAAGTTTTCTCAGGTTACTGGAAGTACTATAACTCTCTCAGATGGCACAGCTTCGACCTCTAAACTCCAACCTCATTTTTTAACTCAAACTCCCTCAGATTTCCCTCCTTCAGGTAATTCGACTAACTCTCATTTTGTTTCTGCGGGAATGAAGAATGGCCTTACTATTTTAGCTCCGACTTGGGTGACTGATACTGGAGCTTCTTGTCATGTGTGTTCTGATTTGAAAATGTTTGCTAGTACTGCTGTTATTGATAACACTTCTGTGACATTACCTGATGGTACTCGGATTTCTGTTACATTGTCTGGTAATATTAAGCTCACTGATCGATTGACTTTAACTGATGTCTTGTATGTTTCTCATTTCAAGTTTAACTTGCTTAGCATTAGTGCTTTGACTAGAAATAGTACCATCTCAGTGTTGTTCTCTGCGCATGAATGTTTGATTCTTCTTGATAATCCTTTTCATCATCTTCAGGAGCTTACTCAGGATTACATGATTGGGAAGGGTAACCTCCGCAACAATCTATATGTCCTGGATGCTCCTGATTTGTCTGCTTCTGTGTCGTCTTCATTCACTGCTGCATCTCTTGCCTCATATAGGATTCTTTCTCAGCATCATACTTCGGATCATATTCTCTCGATGGTTTCATCTGACATTTGGCATCAACGGCTTGGTCATCCATCACAGCATAAAGTTCATATTCTTTCAAAGTTTTTGAATATTTCTCATGTAAAAACTGCTCATTCAAGCTTGTGTAAAATTTGCCCTTTGGCCAAACAGAAACGTGTATCTTTTCCATCAAATCCACATATTTCTAAAGAACCATTTGATTTGATTCACATTGATATTTGGGGTCCTTTTCAAACTCCTACTCATGATGGTTACAAATATTTTTTGACAATTGTAGATGATTGCACTCGGGTCACTTGGTTATATCTTTTAAAAGACAAGAGTTCTGTTTCAACAGTGTTTCCTCAGTTTCTTCAATTTGTTAAAACTCAATATAATTCATGCATCAAGGCAATTCGTTCTGATAATGCTCCTGAACTTGCATTTCATTCTCTTCTTAAAACTCATGGCATTTTGCATTATTTTTCGTGTCCATACACTCCACAACAGAACTCTGTAGTTGAAAGGAAGCATCAACACATTCTCAATGTTGCTAGATCTCTTCTTTTTCAATCATCTATTCCTGTTTGTTATTGGGGTGAATGTGTGCAAACTGCTGTCTATCTGATCAATCGTACACCACCTCCTTTACTTGATAATATAACACCTTATGAACTTCTTACTAAAACTGTTCCATCCTATGATCATCTTCGTGTCTTTGGTTGCTTGTGTTTTGCATCCACATTACTTAAAGATAGGAACAAGTTTAGTCCAAGAGCTTCTCCATGTGTTTTTCTTGGTTATCCTCATGGTTTTAAAGGTTACAAACTCTTGCATCTTGATACCAATACGTTCCCAGTTTCTAGAAATGTTGTGTTTCATGAAAGTGATTTTCCATTTCACAAAGACAAAAAGTCCACAGATTTTCAAACTGTTTTTGATCAAGATGTACTTCCATTGCCTGTTCCTGATTCTCCGTTTCCTGCTTTCTTTGATTTAGGAAATAATGTTACTGATCATACTCTGTTTCCCACTAATGTTGATGATACGGTGGTTCCTTCTGTGCCTGTTAGAACTGATAATGTTGATGTTTCTTTACCATCTACTCGGTCTAAACGTATCTCTAAAGCTCCTGCTTATTTGGATCAGTATCATTGTTTTCTTCTTGATAAGTTGCCTTCTCTGCCTGTTCATCCAACCCATACTACTCCTTATCCTATCTCTTCCTACATATCCTATGATAAGTTTGATACCGACCACGGAAATTTCCTCCTGTCCATTACCACTACAAAAATTCCCCAAACCTTTAAAGAAGCTGTACTATCTGAGGAGTTCAAGACTTCCATGACGTCTGAAATGGTTTCTTTCGAAGGAAGTGGTACTTGGTCTGTGTGTCAATTGCCTCCAGGTAAACAACCTGTTGGTTGTAAATGGGTTAATACTATCAAGTATAATCCTGATGGCTCTGTGGAACGACATAAATCTCGAGTGGTTGCCAAAGGTTATACTCAGCTGGAGGGTCTGGATTACTTGGATACGTTCTCACCTGTGGCTAAGATTGGTATGCTTCGTTTACTTCTTGATGTTGCTGCTGCTAAACAATGGTACATTACTCAACTGGACATCAGTAACGCTTTCTTAAACGGAGATCTTGATGAGGAGATTTATATGAAGCTTCCACCGGGTTATGAAGAGTTGATTGGTAAGAAGGTTCCGATGAATTCTGTTTGCAAGCTTCATAAGTCTATCTATGGCTTGAAACATGCATCTAGACAGTGGAATCAGAAGCTTTCTCATGTGATTCTTGGAGATGGGTTCAAGCAGACGCCGTCTGATCATTCGCTTTTCATCAAGTATGTTGATAAAGTCTACTTGGCGGTCCTAGTTTATGTAGACGACATCTTGATCATTGGCAATGATGAAGCAGCGATAAATGATTTCAAGATGGTGCTTCAGTCTGCTTTCAAACTGCGAGATCTTGGTCCAGCCAAATATTTCTTAGGTTTTGAGATTGCTCGAAACACGAGTGGCATTTCTCTGAATCAAAGGAAGTATACCTTGGAACTTCTGGAGGAGGCTGGTCTATTAGGATGCAAGCCACTCTCTGTTCCGATGGAACCAAACCTGAAGCTTTTCCTCAAAACTGGTACGACTTTATCAGATGCTTCCGTGTATAGGCGCTTAGTGGGTCGTCTCCTAAATCTTACTCACACGCGTCCTGATATTACGTATGCTGTTCATAAGCTTAGTCAGTTTATGTCTGCACCAACGGATTCTCATCTTCAAGCGGCCTATAGAGTTCTTCGATACCTCAAGAATGATCCCGGACAAGGCTTGTTCTATTCTGCCGCATCTCCACTCAAGCTGACTGCATACTCTGATGCTGATTGGGCTGCTTGCCCTGATTCACGGCAATCCTTAACAGGTTACTGTGTTTTTCTTGGTAATTCTCTAGTGTCATGGCGCTCCAAGAAACAACAGACAGTATCACGGAGTAGCTCTGAAGCTGAATACAGAGCAATGGCGGATGATACTTGTGAGTTAATCTGGTTAACATCTTTGTTAACAGAGATGCATTGCTCATTGCAGGTTCCGGCTACATTGTTTTGTGATAATCAGTCAGCTCTCTATATTGCTTCTAATCCTGTTTACCATGAGCGTACTAAGCATATAGAGATTGATTGTCATGTGGTTCGTGAGAGGTTGCAGAGTGGTTTTCTCAAGACGCTTCATGTCAAGTCTGAGTTACAGCTTGCTGATATTCTGACTAAGGCAGTGCAACCGGCTCTCTTCAAAAGCTTAGTTTCCAAGATTGGAATTCACAGCTTGTGTCTTCCATCTTGAGGGGAGGGTATTAGATTATGGGTTTATATTGGTTTAAGGTTTCCTTTTGCCTAACCAATGATTTAGCTTCCCTTTACTAAACCGATTGTATATATTCTTGTAACTGTACGATTGTAAACTTAACTTGAGCAAAATACACATTCATTTTCTCTGTAACTAACTCTGAGCTCAAGATTCTAATAAACCCTAAGCTGAAGATCTTTAGGGTAAATATACTCCATCTCGAATGTATTTTGTCAGTTAACTGGTAAGATTTAATTTATTCCTTTGTGCGAATCTATCCTTTTCATTATCTTCTCCTTTAGTTAAGGCATCTCGTATTGTCTAATGTCTTTTTCGTCGAACAGATCAAACTGGTGTTTTCGGTTAATAATGTATACAAAACGAAAGGTTGGGTGGAGTTTCGTCTATGACGCCAAACAAATGATCAAACCGGTTTTCTGGTTAAGAATAAGGTATATAAACGAGAGGTCAGGTAGGGTTTAGTTTCTTTTGTGACACAAAATAGATTGTTTAATCACAACATTTTCTTTTGTCCAAAAGAAAAAGAAAAAAGAGAATTTGCACTCTACACACAGGAAATATCACATAATTAGCTCTATACACATATTTTGTTTTCTTAGGAATTATCGATTAATTTATGACCAATATACCCCTATTGCCTTCTACTCTTCGCTTTTATAATGTCCATGTATTCTTGTAGATTCCTGTTCTAATAATCCAATTCTACACGAAATATATTTGTGTCTGACCACTTAATATATTATATTATTCTCATAAAATCTCCCTGAATCGTTGTAACCGAGACATTTCTTCTTTTTATATTTATAAGTTATTGTTCATCTCTTCAATGATATATATCAGACATAACTTCTATTTACTCTGTCCTTTTTGTCTCAGTTGTCCAGTCCAAATGGTTCAAAGCAACGCCGCCTCTATTCCGGTTTCGTTTTGGTAGTGGTTCTTCTCTTATGTTCTTCTGATTCGTTTACGTTGTGCGGCGGATTTCTAGGAAAACTTTGGGAGTTATGGTGGCTCGTTAGTTGTAGGCGGAAGCTCTGCTTGAGGACGGTGGAGCCGACAGCCGATTCCGCAAGTCAGTCATCACGATCCCTAAAGTTTGTTTCGATTGTTGAGAGGTGCTCGTTCGCAGAGGATCTATCCATGGAGATGTGATTCTTCCGGTGACGATTCCTTTCTGGTGTGGTTGCTGCTTGACCGGTGTGGAAGAGGAGCTGGTGACGTCTCGGATACCATGATACACTAGTCGTCGGTGTCTGTCGCTTGTGGCCCTCCTTCGTCTTCTTCCCCACATATCTTCTAGTTCCCTTTAGATTTGTTGTTTAGGTGTGTTTCTTTTATTTTCAATGTAATCTAGCAATTTTCGTTTCACCGGAGCTCCTGTATGTTTATGTTTTGATTTCCCCCTAGAGCTTAATATATATTTAACCGTTATAAGTGGAGTTTTTTTTTTTTTACTAACTATCTGTTAGAAGTGGAGTTAACAAACCAAAGCGACTAGACTCTTTGTTAAACTCCCCTTTTAAACAGTCTCGATAAAAGATTAAACATACTGCTATCATCCAAGTTCGATTACTTAAATATTTATCGTTACCAAAAACAAACTATCAGACTAACACAAAAAATAACCGACTAACACACAGAGTAACCGACCAACAAAGATTACTTAAATATTATCGTTAACAAAAACAAACTATCAGACTAACACACAAAGTAACCAACTAACACACAAAGTAACTGACCAACAAAGATACAGTCCTGCAACAGATATTTCATTACACCAACGGTTACAAGTAAATTTAGCAAACCAAAATGACCAGACACATTGCTAAACTCCCGTTTTAACCATCCCTAGAAAATATACAATAGATACTGTTATCGTTAAAGGTTTGTTAAACTGTTACTAAATTGTTTAGCCTTCACAAAAACAAACCGGCTAACTAACACAACAAGTAACTGACCAATGAAAATGAAACCTTGAAAACATACACTTTATTACTAAAAAACCAAAAAAAAACCTTCATACAGAAATGCTACCAGCTTCTCACTCCTCGTCAACATATTTCAACACCCACCCTTTGTTATGCTCCCTTCAAAGGATGTCTCTTTTCTCCTCTCACAACCATTGCTTATCCCCACTCCTTTCGGTATACTAATCAAAGCTAGCTTCATCATTTATGGTTGACTGTTAGCATCAGAATTTGGATCTCGTGCTTTTGTGTTGTTCCTCTCAACTGATTTCAAAGGATCTGAATCCAATTTTTCACCGGCACTTCTCTTTTATTATTGATACCTAATATTATGTTTAGCTGAAGTTTGAAGGTTTTATCCAGATAATAATATTTTTTTTAAGAAACATTCTCCATACTTTCTCATAGCACTTCTCTTATTTAATTACACAAGTAATTTTCATTTGTTGCAATCTACAAAAAGCTTGTTTACTCATTTAACGACGATATTATACGAAGAGGGGATTTTGTTTAAATATAACATATAGATGTATTGTAATCATTACAAACAGAGCATACAAAACAAATGCTAAAACTACCTCTAATATATTTTACATACTAATGAAAAGCTTAACATGCTACAATATTTGTATTGTTGGCTATTAATATAATTAGTGTCCAATAATATTTTTATCTGTCCACTTCTGAACTTAGAACGTTAACTTCCCAAAATTCTCTTAACAATTTTCGAAGAGAAGCTAATTAATATATTTTCCAAGAATCACATATTTTAGCTGGATAAGTCTTTAAGAAGTGTCTGAAAACTCTCGTTCTCATCCACTATCACCGCGAATCTAAAATCAGTCTGGTCCAGGAAGAAATGCCATTCATGGTCTTTATTTTTCTTCCATTCCCCTCGCCACAAACATATCACTCGTCCCATAGTTTGGAAAAAGTTTTGCAAACAAAACAGCATCTCTTGGGCATACCATTTCAATGTCGTCCATATACTTCCCCTTAACTACACATTTTATTTTGATTCCAAATACACTTCTTCTCTGTTTTTATTTCAACAGAAAAGGGTACTAAAATCTTAAAAGAAGAGAATCATAACCGCACGGAACAGAGTTGTCTAAGCTTGTTCCTTCACCCAACACTGTCAAGACCAAGCCTACTCCGGAGCTCCCCGCAGCCACAGACGCTGGCTTCCGAAGAAGATCCGATTCCAAACCTTCGCTGCCGTACTGCTCAAGACATCGCTGTCTCAAAGTCCAAACCACCACGACTACCCCTCACTCATGTCTGAGGGAACCGTCATCCCTTTTAACCTCTGCTTCGGTGTTTAACACGCGGTCTCTGGCTCTTCTCCGCTGTCCTCGAAACGGAAATTGCATGTTTTTTTACCGACTAACCACCAAAGCTTGAAACTTTCATAGGGTTTTCAGCCGCTCCTGAAGCTTTTGATTGGCAAATACTTCTCGAATTACCCCGTTCACGTACTTGGGGGGTGAAAAAAATACTTAGTAATCATTACTACTACAACCAATAAAAACTCTTATAGCTTCTACCCTAAAATTTGCCGTAAAATACCATTTATACAACTTAAGGACAATATCGTCAATTAACGTTTATTACTTGCACTTTTATCCCCATACGATTTGGCTATTGGGTATTTACCTAATTTGTGTTGTATAATATTGTGAGGAAGATATTATTTTGTCTATATATTATATTATATATTTCTTTCTTGTGAGAGATGTGAGTGGACGTAAAATAAAGAGTGATGTTTTTTTTATTGATTTCAGATCACCTACACAATATAAGAGAGAGAGAGCCTTATTTATAGGAGAAAAAGAATACATGCAGATTGACGTGTGGGGGAGATGATGGTGCAAGGAGGATTAATAAAAAGACAAGTGTAAATGACTAGCATAGCTATCTTTGAGACATTTGTCTCACAAATGATTAATCATCTTTTATAACACTCCCCCTTGATTATTCATCTTGTGTTACGTAGTGCCTCGTTAAAACCTTAATCATGGAAAAACCTGTTAGGCTAAAAACCATGAAAAAGGAAAAAGAGTACACATGCGTAATCTCCCCCTGAACATAATGGACATAGTTTTTTTCTTCATAGATCACGCAAATGTCGCATTCCGATACCATAGATGTGTTTTCGGAACGTCGTAGTAGGAAGGGCCTTTGTAAACAAATCTGCGGGATTGTCGCATGACCGTACATATTCTATGTCCACTTCTTTATTTTTCTCGAGCTGTCGTATGTACGAGAAAAATCTTGGAGGCATGTGCTTTGTTCTGTCGCTCTTGATATAACCTTCTTTAAGTAGAGCAACACATGCTGAATTGTCTTCGAACATTTTCGTCGGTTCTTTCTTACCAATTATTCCACTTGCTTCTTGTATGTGGTAACTCATTGATCTAAGCCACACACATTCTCGACAGGCTTCGTGAAGTGCAATGGTTTCTGCATAATTCGAAGATGTTGCAACCAGAGTTTGCTTCTGTGAACGCCAAGAGATCGCTGTCCCACCAATTGTGAAAACATAGCCGGTTTGCGAACGAGCCTTATGAGGATCTGATAAGTATCCTGCATCTGCAAAACCAACCATACCAAACTCGGGTTTTCTAAAATAAATTAACCCTAAATCAACTGTACCTTGGAGGTAACGAAATATATGCTTTATTCCGTTCCAATGCCTGCGAGTAGGAGCACAACTATATCTTGCAAGAAGATTAGTGGCAAAGGCAATATCAGGTCTAGTACAGTTCGCTAGATACAATAACCCACCGATAGCACTCATGTAAGGTACTTCAGGACCTAACATCTTTTCGCTATCTCCACAGGGTCTAAAAGGATCTCTCTCAACATCGAGAGTCCTACCAACCATTGGAGTACTCAAAGGAGTTGCTTTGTCCATACGAAAGCGTTTCAATAACCTTTTCGTATAATTTGATTGATGCACAAATATACCTTCTCGGAGATGCTCAATCTGGAGCCCAAGACAAAACTTTGTCTTTCCGAGATCTTTCATTTCGAACTCTTCTTTCATATGAGTTCGTGCATCATTAACCTCCTTTTGAGTTCCAATAATGTTCAGGTCATCAACATATACAGCAATGATCACAAAGCCAGATGACGATTTCTTTATAAAAACGCATGGACATATCGCATTATTCACATATCCTCTTCTCAAGAGATATTCACTTAAGCGATTGTACCACATGCGACCGGACTGCTTTAATCCGTAAAGTGATCGCTGTAACTTGACCGAACAAGTCTCCCTGGGTTTCTCTTTCAATGCTTCTGGCATTTTCAATCCTTCAGGGAGTTTCATGTATATATCATTATCCAATGATCCATACAAGTATGCAGTCACAACGTCCATNGTAATTCAATTTCAATGGCCTTCTTCCACTCCTCCCAATCATGTCTTTTCATACATTCTAAAATGGACCTTGGATCAGGATCATCACTTTCGTGATCTATTTCTTTGGACACAGAAAAGGAGAACATTCCATCAACATCTTTTATCTTATTTCTGATCCATAATTTTTCATCTTGGGCGTAGTTGATGGAAATCTCATACTTTTCTGTTCCCTCCTCGTCATCTGGATCCTTATCTTTATTTGGTTCTTCTTGAACCTTTTCATCTATGCCTTCTTTCAGACATTTTTCAGTATCAGGTTCTTCTAGAACCTTTCCTTTTTGCTCAACCAATTTCTTTTTCTTTCGGGGATTTTTATCTTTAGAACCCACAGGTCTCCCCCTCTTTAACTGAGCCCTAGGCTCATTCATTGTATCTCCATCAGTGTATTCTTTAGGAACAACAACTCTTGATGGGACATTTTCAGCGGGTATATATGATTTAGTCACCCTTCTCGTATCTGTGAACGCATCTGGTAACTGGTTTGCCAAATTATGCAAATGCACAATTTTCTGAACTTCCAGCTCTCTTTGATTCGTAGGGGGATCAAGGTGTAACAACGATGGTGTACACCAAGTAATCTCTTTAGGAATTTCTCTAATTCCTCCCCCTAACGCTGGAAATTCTTCTTCATTAAAATGGCAATCGGCAAATCGTGCCGTAAACATATCACCAGTTACTGGTTCCAGATATCTTATTATACTCGGTGACACATAACCCACATATACTCCCAATCTCCTCTGTGGGCCCATTTTTGTCCTTTGTGGCGGAGCTATCGGTACATAGACCGCACACCCAAAGACACGGAGATGGGATACATCTGGCTCATGCCCAGATGCCAATTGTAATGGGGAGTACTTATGATATGCACTCGGTCTTAACCGAATTAGTGCATCCGCATGCAAGATAGCATGACCCCATACTGAAATTGGGAGCTTTGTCCTCAAGATCAACGGCCTTGCAATAAACTGCAACCGCTTTATTAATGACTCGGCCATGCCATTCTGGGTATGAACATGGGGCACTGGATGTTCCACATCAAT